TCGTAAAGCCAGCGCAGCTGCTTGGCGAAGATCCAGCAAAGCTGGACAGCAAAGCCACATCATGGCCGCTGTGCCCCTTTTGATTCTGATCTCCATGGGGGGGGGGGCTTTTAATATTTGTACAACCTGATGATATTGGATTATTAGGTGTACTAGGTGGTTTTGTGTGTCAGCTTGACACAAGCTGGAGTCATCAGAGGAAGGAGCCTCAGCTGAGGAAATGACACCTTGAAGTCCAGCTATGAGGCATTTTCTCATTTAGGAATCAATAGGGGAGGGCCCAGCCCCAGTCCCAGCCCCAGCCCCAGTCCCAGCCCCAGCCCCAGCCCGTAGTGGGTGATACCCTCCCTGGGCTGCTGGCCTGGGTTCTAAAGAAAGGTGGACTGAGCAAGTCACGGAAAACAAGCCAGTAAGAAGCTCCCCTCCATGGCCTCTGCATCAGCTCCTGCCTCTGCCTGCTAGCGGGATACTGTCCTGTTTGAGTTTCTGTCCTGACTTCCGTCGGTGATGAAAACAGTGTTGAACTGTAAGCCAAATAAACCCTTTCCTCTCCAACTTGCATTTTGGTCATGGTGTTTCCTCGCAGCATGGAAACCCTAGCCAAGACAATGGGAAATTTCCTAGGAATCATTTATGCCTTCTCCCGGGAGTACTGCTCTGCCCCCAGGAAAGAAAGTCCTGGACTTACCGCCCCTCCCACTTTTAGGGAGATATCCTTATCTACTTGAAGGTCTTCCTTACACCTTGGAGGTGGTCGTGCACGTAAAGAAGGCAGAAGTCTCATTAATGAGGCTCTGAGATATTCTTGAAACATCTGTCCCTGCGCGTATTTAGGAACAAGATAGTCAAAACAAAGTAAACTTTAAAACATCAACAAAATTTGGTGGGCTAGAGGAGCTGGCCACAGATCAGATTGCAAGCTTCTTTCTACTGTACACTCAGGCGATTATGTGGCATACACAGCAACAAAGGTATATTAGCTGGAGTTACCTCTGCCCTGCACAGAGACTTATATTGATGGGCAAAGAATGGTGTGGGAAGATGACAAAATAGTGGGTTATTAGGACCCCCTTACTTAGAAAAGCTCATGCAAAGCCTCTGTCTGTGGTGTCATATGACCAAGGAGCAAAAGAAAGCCAGGGCTAAACATACAAAAATTCTATAAAGATGTAAAATGTTTACATTGTATCATGCCAGAAATTGAATAATAGCTGCAGCATCTTTGGCCTGACCATTAAGAGTTAATACTACACTGCTCCGGACTTGTTAGATCTGCCTGAGTTGCTTGGAGATATTCTGTCTAGTGTCCTTGAAGTCACAAGAGTTGTCTAGAAGTGGGATGATGAGTTAATGAGTAAAAATGCTTGCAAAAGATAACTGTTTATTATGATTTATCAGTGATGGCTGAAAGATATGCAAGAGGAGGCTGAACACGTATCCGAGAACAGAAATGATATGATTTATGTTTTGGAACAACATGAACCTGTCCCCGCTTACCAAATTCTGTATAAATAAATACAGATGCACTCAGAACCGGTCAGGCTTCAAGATTCTTACCACCACTGATGGTCTGGTTCAACCTTCTCGCCTACTCCTTGCCTCTTCTCTGGAACCTGTCAACCACAGCCAGGGCTAGCCCCCACCCCCCTGCAAGATGTATCTTTTACCTCTTCATGTTGATCCGACTCATTTTTATGTCTGACTTACACGTCAGCACCTGACTTACTGGTTGAACACCAAAATAACTTGCCAAAATTTTTAGCAACTGCTGTAATTAATGTGTATTTGAAACATAATCCAACGAAGTGTTTCTTAGCATCTCCACTTTTATTCCCAGCAGGATGGGAAATATCATTCCTAATTAAATGCATTGGGTTGACGTTTCCGTCATCCTGGCCTGCCAGAGCTACAGTCAGTCAACTACCCTGTGAAAACCACTCTCACAGATGAAGGCGTCATCTAAAGTGAAGGACTTGTTTTCAAGATGATCTTAAGATTTTATTAGACGTCCCAAGTAAATTATGAAGAGGAAGCCTTTATAAGAGGAACATGTCATGCCAAAGCTGATGAGGGTGCGAGAACATTCCGAACACCATACCACCCTTACTCTGACTTCAGTAACTGCAGAGAACCAAGCCATGGGCGTGGGATTAATGGGTGAGCGCCCAGACCCCAGGACCCTGCCTGCTTGGATGCAGTTCTCAGCACCAGCCTTTCCTAGGTCTCTCAAGTGAGGTGTCTTGATTTCCTCAGTTTTACTTTTATCATAAAATGTATTCGATTTTCGGCACTGTAACAAAATACCGAAGAGAAATAGTGCAGAGGAGGAAAGATTAATTTTGGCTCCTAGCTTTAGAACAGTGGTTCTTAACCTGTGGGTCACAACCCATGGGAAGGGGCCAAATGACCCATTCACAGGGGTCACCTAAGACCATCGGGAAACACAGATATTTACATTACAATGAATAACAGTAGCAAGATCCAGTTATGAAGTAGCAACAAAAGTACATTTATTGTTGGGTCACCACAATATGAGGAGCTGTATTAAAGGGTCATAGTATTAGGAAGGTTGAGAACCACTGTGACCTCTAGGAGGCCAGGAAGAAGGAAAACAGAAGGGGTCAAAGGCACTTCCAAGTCACTTTCCCAGTGCCCACCATGTTAGTGCTATGGCTTGTTGTCATGAAAAGACGCCCTGACAGAGCAACTTAAAGAAAGGGTTTTCTGACTCACAGTTTCACTGTATAGTTCTTCATGGTGGGCAATTCTTGTGGTGGTTTGAATAAGAATGGATCCCCGAGACCATATATTTGAATGGCTAGTCACCAGAGGGAGGTAATATTTGAAAATTTGAAAGGACTAGAAAGACTAGGAGGTGTGGTCTTATTGGTGGAAGTGTCCTTAGGGGTAGACTTAAGGGTTTCAAAAGCTCAAGCCAGGCCTAGTCTCTCTCTCTCTCTCTCTCTCTCTCTCTCTCTCTCTCTCTCTCGTGTGTGTGTGTGTGTGTGTGTGTGTGTGTGTGTATACATATCTTCCTGCTGCCTGTGAATCAGGATGTAGAACTCTTGGCTACTTCTCCAGCACCATGTCGGCCTGCATGCTGCCATGCTCCCTGCCGTAACAACATGCTAAACCTCTGAAATGACAAGCAAGTCCATAATTAAATAGTTTTCGTTTCTGTTTTATTTTATAGGAGAGTTCCCTTGGTATCTGCTCACAGCAATAGAACAGCGACTAACACAGAAGCTGGTATCAGGAGTGGGGCATTGCTGTGACAGACCTGACCATGCTAATTTCATGTCAGCTTGACACAAGCTAATGTCATCAGAGAGGCAGAAACCTCAGTGGAGAAAATGCTCCCCATAAGATTAGACTGTTTTAGGGCATTTTCTTAATAAGCGACGGATCATGGAAGGTTCAGCTCATTGTGGACGGGGTCGCCCCTGAGACAGTGGTACTGGGGTCTATAAGAAAGCAGGCTGAGAAAGCCATGGGGAGCAAGACAGTAAGCAGGACCTGGCCATGACTCTGCCCTGACTGTTCTTGATGATAAACCATTATAAGGAACTGTAAGTGATGCAGACCCTTTCCTCCCCGTGCTGCTTTTGGCCATGGCGTCTTGCACAACAATAGTCACCCTAAGACTGTCACGGTGGCAGGAGTTAACAGGCAGCTGATCTCACTGTGTCGGTAGTCAGGAAGCAGACAGAAATGAATGCTGATGCCTAGTGAGTGTCTCCTTTTTATTCAGCCCAGGACCCCATCCCATTCAGTGGTGACACCCACCATGATTGTGGCTTTCCCTGTATCTCTTAACCTAATTTAGAAACTCTTTCACAGACGTGCCCAGAGACATGTTTTCATGGTGAGTCTAACTCTCCCCCTGTTGGCAAGGTAACCACCACCCCTCCTCTCTCCAAGTAGGCCTCGCCTTTTAGTTTCCACGACTTCTCAACACCACCTCAGATTCTGAATCCTTCAGAGCTCCAGAACCCAGTCATGTCCTCAAAGCGCATCAGCTAGCCGCCAAGCCTTTAGCATGTGAGCCTTTGGGGACCATCTCAGATTCAAACTGTCGCCTCAGAGACGTATAGGGGACAGTGAGGAGGGCACGGGGGCTCCTCTGGTTCCTCTTTCCATGGGGAAGGAAGTGTGTCAACACTGGAGGAGGTTTGTGAGCCCAGAGATTGTGCAAATCGAGCTTGCCCATCTGTAGGATGCTGACACAGGTGTTGCGGTGTCCCACTGTGACGTCTGAATATTCATGTCTGAAGTCTTAGCTAAGGGACTGGTTCAGCCTGGCCCTGGGTGCTCAGCTGCTTACATCACCAATCCAAACTGGCGCATGGGCTCTTTGGTCTGGCTCCCCGAACCATTATTTCTTCTTGGGAACCTTCAGAAGTAAGAGAGCCAGGTGGCTCGGCACCGTTGAAAGCACTGCTCTCTCCCAGGCCTGAGCATGGTGAAACCGAGTCTCCAATGATGGGCTTACGTTGATAAATTCAGGAGATAATGCGATCTGCTCAAGTCGGGATCACTGGACATAACACATCAGGGTAACAAATTCATCTCCTCAACACCAGCCAAGCCTTGAAGTCCTAGGCACACACATTGCGTGGGGGGTGGGGGGAGGTAATATTTTTCCAAAGTGTTATTTTATAGGCTGACAAAGTAGCTGATTTCATGTTTGTTCTCAGTAAAATGACAACCACAGACTTATGAATTAACTAGAGTCACTTGATAGGATCAAGTGACTCTAGTTAATTAATGGGGGCAGGGCAGTGTTTTTAAAGGACAGTCTCACCCTTTGGGGATACGCACCAAGTCATCAACAGAGGAATGACAGGCAGTCTGCCCATGGAAAAGTTCAGGGAGGCGGAGCGTGGGAGGGGTCGTGGGTTGCTAAAGCTGCAAGATGGACCAAGGAAACTGCATCATTTAGTCCTCTCTACTCTAGTATTGTGGAAGGGTTCCTTCAGGCTTTAAGGGAGGCAGGGAAGATGATCAAGGAGAGGTAAGAATAAAACTTGGAGCCGGGCAGTGGTGGCACACGCCTTTAATCTCAGCACTCGGGAGGCAGAGGCAGGCGGACCTCTGTGAGTTCAAGGCCAGCCTGGTCTACAAGAGCAAGTTCCAGGACAGGCTCCAAAGCTACAGAGAAACCCTGTCTCAAAAAACAAACAACAATAGCAACAACAACAACAAAGAATGAAACTTGGATCAGCCAGATGTTTGCAGCAGTTCTGAGCCAGGACTTCTAGAGTCTGGTCCGGATCACTTACTTTAGCCATATTTAAGCACAGCACAATTTTGGGAAAGAGTTTTCTTATAGCAATTCAGTCCCAAGTGCACAACAAATATAAGACACATTTACACTGAAATTCTTCACAGAGTATATCTGGCTTCTTTGACTAAGATGGGTACTGTTGACTCAGAAATAGTGCCCAAGATTTAGAGTCCAGGGAGATTGACTGAGACAAACATAATGCCTGTGGGTGTCAGGATTGGCCTGCCCCTGGGAGAGCGTGGAAGTCTCTTAGGCTGTTGTAAAGCATTAGTGACATCCCTCATTTGAATGAGTTTTATGGCCTAGGAGCATAGGGGGAAAGGGCCTGGGATAAGTAAACATATATTCTGGGAGATACAGGCAGAGCCTGACTCATCAGAAGGCGCAGGATCACCAGGCTGTAAACGACATCCTTTTCCAGCCTTCCAAGAGGAAGACAGGTTAAATATCTCTTTCCTTTGGATGATGCCCGTGTGTGTTTCGCTTTCCTGGCTTCTCCGGGGCTTCTCTGTGTGCACAAGCACTTTTCGCCCTCCACAGAGTAGGTTTTAAATCTTCCACATTATAAAGGCCCTTTTCAAAACCCAAAATTATTCTTATAAAAAAAAATGAAACTTTCATTCTCCCACATCAATTCTTCAGGAAATTGTTTCCTGAGCTCTTTTCTTCCTAACATATACGGAGACTCGTAGATCGTGCACACAACTGCTTCAAATCCCATCTCACGAGGTAGAACTTTTTTGCCACTAGGAGGGACCCTATCACTACTCACTCCTTTCTATCTTAAAATCTATTTAATTGTCTATTGATGCAACTGCTCTAGCTTTACAATGGCTTTTATTTACATTCTCTATACTTCTGAGGGACTAGGAGTCTGGACGTCTGAGAGGCAGATAGATAGATAGATAGATAGATAGATAGATAGATAGATAGATAGATAGATAGACAGGGAAAAGAAGGTCTAGATAGATGTGAAGGCTGATCTTGGTTATCGACTTGACTGTATCTGGAATCATCTAAAACCCAAGCGACTGGGCACTCCTGTGAGGGATGTTTTCAATCAGGTTATTTGAAGCAAGGAGACCTACCCGAAATCTGGGCCATACCTCCTGAAGGCAGCCTGCATAAAAGACCACAGAAGGGCTGGAGAGATGGCTCAGCAGTTACAGGCTAGGCTCACAACCAAAAATGAGAACACAGAAGACGGAAGCCTTCCTTTTTACCTGCTTACCCCCACTCTCACGGGCAGGTCTGTCCATACTCCTTTCCTGATATTAGAGTCAGTTACTTTGGGATTCCAATGTAGACTGGAGATCAGAAGCCTTCTAGAACTTCAGTACCAGATTGGGACTGCAGAGACATCCAGCCTCATGGACCGAACAGCTACAGGACTTCCGGCGTTTCCATCATGAGATAACCATTATTGAGCTACCAGATTATGTGTCACAAGCCAGTCTAATAAATCCCCTTTGAACATAGTCATTCTATCAGTTCACCCTAAAGGAGTAGATTAATGAACTCTCACTTGAGCATTTCAGACAGCCAACTTCATGGTTCTCCCATTCCAAGACAAAAATTTCAAATCTTCAACCAGGGGTCTCCTCTGGTAGGAATCAGTCTGCTTCCCTTTCTTCCTCTGGATTTTCTAATCCCCTGCTATAGCCCAACCCAGACAATTCTGAGGGAGAAGAGCCCTATCCTACTCACAGACATGAAAGCTTTTGGACTTTGCCAGACAAAAGCAGATTCTAGAGTTCAGATCCCCTCCTCCCTAGGAAGTCTGTTTCTTTGTGGCTCTGCGGTGTGCCTGGGCTTTTGCTTTCAACAAAACCTGGCTGGGCCTGAAGTCTTGCTTTTTCTGCGTTTTTTATTCTTTAAATCAGCAGAGAAAAAGATTCAGCTCTTGCCAAACTCACTGACCTCATCATGACAGCATCGCTTCCGTTTGTTTATTTTTATATATAAATTTTTAATTTTAGCTTTTTTTTGTAATTCATTAGCGCACTCGCGTGTGGAAAATGTCCCGGTGCTTTGGTATTTCATTAAGTGACGGCAAACTATCTGCAGTCTCGGTATTTAACTACAAAGGGGCTTCCCAAGCATCAGGAGGCAGAGCTGTGGTTTCCTTGGTTACCTCGTCTGACTGCTCACTTACTTGTTATCAAGACCAGCACCACCATCAAGATATCGCCCCTAAAGATTTCCTCATGTGCCTTTGCATGCATGTCCTTTCTCCCAGCCCCACATGACCTTCAGTCCGCTTCCTATTACTGTAGCTTCATTTGTACTTTCAAGACATTTAATGTAATGGATTATTTGCGTGCGTGCGTGCATGTGTGTGTGTGTGTGTGTGTGTGTGTGTG